CCTCCCGGAGACATAACAGAGTTGCTAATCAGCTTGCAACATCTGCCCTCCTCCGCAGACACTGCAACAACCATCAATTACCTATCCAAGGCCCATGAGTGGTTAAGGCACTGGGATGACTTCAAGGTCGCTTCTCTCAAAGTACCTGCAGGAATGGACAAGTCTGCTGAACGGTTCATCCAGACAATCATCCATGAGCGTACTTAACTGGATAAGGAAAGGAGTGAAGCTCAACTTTGCAGGAATAAGGCATAATTAGAAGGATAAAGTAGAATAAGTCTGCAGGATGGTAAGGCCAGTAATGACAACGACCGTCTTCAGGAAGACACTGAGACGTAGGGGCCCACCCGCCATCCATTTTCCCCCCTACAAGCAGTCCCTCCCTAATCACTCCATCCAGGAAACAGTTGACTCACTTTTACTCCAAGGCGTGATTTTGGAAACCATCAACCCTAGAGTAGTAACCCCATCTTCGTACTCGTAAATTCAGCAAAACTCTGATTTATTATGGATTTGAGGTTGTTAACCTTTTCATCTCCTTCCCCAAGTAGGGTAAGAAGAAGAAGACAAGAGGACGACGAGAAGAGGAGGAGGAGGAGGAGGAGAATAGGATAAGCGGAGGAGGAAGGAGAGGAGGACGGCCTTCTTTTTTTTTTTTTTTTTTTTCACCTGTCGTGTCTCACGTGACCTACCGAATGTTGAAGGAGAAGAAGAAGAAGACAAAGAAGAAGAAGAGGAGAAAGAAAACGAGTGGGTGACGAGGGGAAGACAAAGGGAAGATGAAGGGAAGATGAAGAAGACGAGAGGAGGAGAATGAGGAGAGAAGAAGAAGAAGAAGAAGAAGGCAAAGAGGAGGAGAAAGAAAACGAGTGGCGGACGAGGGGAAGACGAAGGGAAGATGAAGAAGACGAGAGGAGGAGGAGGAGAGAAGAAGAAGAAGAAGAAGAAGAAGAAGAACAGTTAGCCTAGCAGCAGGGCCTTTGTCTGGCCGTCCAACACAACCCTAAATGATCGCGACAGGAAGAAAAAGAAGAAGAAGAAGCAGAAGAAGAACGGCGCCTTCGTTGTCGGGGCCTTCATTGTAGCAGCAGCAGCAGGGCACTTGGGCCCTTCGTCGTAGCAGCAGCAGCAGGACAGTTGGGCCTTTGTCGTAGCAGCAGCAGAAGGACAGTCGGGGCCTTCGTTGTAGCAGCTGCAGCAGGACTGTCGATGGCGACGGCGACGGGCGACAGGCGACGGCGCAGGAGGAACTTCGATCGTGCTGGGGGGCGAGTGGCAGACCACCCCAGCCGATCCCAGGTTTGAACAAGGGGATGTTTGGCGCCTAGATTCCCCGGCTCTGTGGCCGTCGATGATGGTGGATCGACGGCCACAGAGCCGTCACAAAGTTTTGAAAATCCCGCAGGCCTACCGGGCCCGACGGGACGGTTTTTCGGGCCGCTCGGACCCGGTAGACCTGCGGGAGGCAAACAGCAGGGAAAAGGGGGTCCGACACCCGCAGACAGGTGATTGCACTGGGGGGGGGCGGCCCCCAACCGGGTGCCCTGCCTGGCCAGGCCACCCGGGACCTCCCCCAGGCCCCCGCCCGTCAGCCGGGCGGCCCGGATCCCC